TATTGTCCCGTGTCTCAGAGATATCGGGATTTCTTGTGTCAGGGCCCAGACCGCGGCTGCCGCGGGCTGGACTGTGACGGAGATACAGGATCATCCAAAAACATGCTCAATCGCGCGCAAAGGCTGCACTCACCTGCAGCCCCAGACTGTACAGACCTTTGAGCACGCCCAGGTCAGTAGAATCGACACAGTGAAATCAAATGAAGTGCAGTTTTGGATGGTGAAGCCGTATGCGCGACGCATCGTTGAATCGTCTGGTCTCATGTGTTGTGATTAAAATACGGACCGCGAGTTGAGATCGTTGGCCAGCAGTGCACGTCTTTATTAGGAAAATTTATGGTACAAAGATAAATGTCCACATATGTTGAACGTTGTGCCAAAAGCTGCAGGATGCATGACGATGTCACTAGATACCAGAGTCTTCCTGTTCGATGGAATACGTGTCCTGGAAGCTTGACCATGTAGAGCACCCGTCATTGAGGCTGCTCTGATCAGATATACCAGCAATCTCGCTGTATCTCTCGATGAACTGCAGCGCAAAGCCTTCCGAAGCGTGCCATCCGATGTGGCAGTGCATCAACCAAACACCGGGGTTGTCGGTTTCCCAAGCCATGACAAGGTATCCGGAAGCCGGCAGAAGAGCAGTATCGCGGCGTGGAGGGTTCTCCGTATTCAGGGTCACTGATGCGGAATAAGTCCCACTGCCCTGGGCGAGGACAAAGAAGTCGTGACCATGCAGGTGAATTGGGTGAGGAACCCCCATTGCCGTCTGGACGACGAGATACACCCATTTGTTAGCCTCGCTGAGCTGAAGGACTGCATTCTCCGTTTCCCATTCGGTAGCTCCAGCGAGAACCTGTCCCAAAGTTGGGTCGGCCCAGTCAACAAGCAGACTTGTGCTGTTGAGGTACCATTTGAATAGGCCAGCCGAATTGCGGCCAACTGTAGCGATTGCCAGGTCACTCCAGTCAGCACCTTCGACGGCCTTGGAGACGACAGGGACAAGATTGTCAGACTCGTCATCACAACTGTCCGTATAATCGTAACCAATAGTCTTAGGTGTCGTCACGGAATCTCCATAATACACGATAGCCTTAATATTATCGGTGCTTTCGTTGTCCGAGCAAGCTGACTGGGGGATAGCGCGCATCCAGAAGCTGTCTGCCGCTTCTGCCTGGTTCGCCGTAACAATGATGTCGTAACGCTGGCCTGCTCTAGTGAGTAAGTAGTTTCGAGACATCAGGAAACATTGACGTACCCATAGTCAAATCAACCATCGTCGTAATGTATGGCTCGACAGGAACCAAGTCAGCAGCAATGACCGTCAAAGTGTGGTTGTCTATGCTAAACTTCCAGTGTGTATCAACTGCAGCATTGACGAGTCGCATGCGATATGAGGTTCCAGCACTGAAAGGTATAGTGAGACGTTTGCCTGTCTGCGACGCATCGTCGTCATCACCATAAACATTTGTACCGTTGATGAGGCCGTTGTCAAGCATGGGGGGACCGTTCGTTTGAGCTACAGCATATAGCTCATCAACCGTCTGGTGATCCCAATCGTTCAGGAAAACAACACCGAGATCCTCGTCATAGTTGGCAGAGGCAGGACCATTGATGATAATGCCACCAAAGATGCCTTGGTATGCCTGCAGGGCAAAGTGTGAGTGGTACCAGCTTGAACCATACTGAGTCGCTTTCCATGTGTATGTTACGGACTCGCCAACAGCAACGGGGCACTGAGTCACAGCTGCCACACCATCGTGCTGGTTTGTATTGTTCTGACGCATGCCATGAAAATGGATACTGGTTCCGTTGAGGGAAGTCGACAGAGAGTTGGTGACATGAACTGTCACAGTATCGCCCCAATCCGCAAAGATGGTAGGGCCTGGGATCGAGCCATTGACAGCCATGGCGGTTCGATTGACGCCGTCCGGGGCTACGTTGACATCCGTAAGCTCAAGCCAATACTCTCGAGTGACGCCGGTGTCTACTGCCTCAGTCCACCAGTCTGTGTCGATGGAATGATCGCACCACTCAGACCTTGTCGCTGGTGTGTTGCCGTTGCAGACTGCCCTCGTACCCATGGTGGCACTGGGAGCGGCAAGAGCAGTGTTTGTCGAATGAATAGCCATCAAGGCGACGAAAAGTCGCAACGACAGCATTTTGTTAGGCCGTTTGGTGAAACAACGAGGCTAATGGATCTATGGCTTAGACTTGATGCAACAAAATCGAGTCGATGACTGAAGAACAATATGCTGTGATAGCTAGTATGGTGAGCTGAGGGCTGAATTTGTCTCAATGAGATGAGGACTACTTTGTCTTTTGTACGTGAGACGACAATGCGTGGACCGTGTCTTTCTCACTCGACCTTTGGCCTCAAAAATATCATGAACGTTTTCGTCCCTTACAATCACTGGTGATGACCCCCATGTAGCTCAAGCACATTTACTCGTGAATTTCATGCCGTCAAGCCGGCTTGGGTAACATCTGCCATTGGCCCCTGAAGTTTTGGTACGTGATGACGAGTCCTTCTCCTGGCTTTGCTGCTCCTTGCTGAGGCTACTTCATAGTCACACTTGAATCGCCTCAGTCGTCATCAGCTTTCTTGGCGCGGCGGCTCCGAAAATACCGATTAGGTTATTTTGATAACAGCTAAAGATCGCAGCCGCTGTGTATTAAAGTATACGTTCCGCCCTCTGTAGCTGCACAACGCCAGTCTTCATTCGTAACAACCTCCGAAAGCGATGCCCGGACCCCTTCCGCAACGCGAGTCTGCAGGGTTCAGAACGGGATATTCATGTAGTTCCCGCGGTCAATGCCGATGGTTTGATCCACAACGATGGCGCACTGACCTTTCTAGTAAATGTTGTTAAAGGGGTGTTGGGTGGTATGGTATGGCAAACACACGGTCTACGGAATGCCATCCGCCTGCAACAAAGGGGCTCGAGCGCTATGATGACCGCCTTCCTTAGGGAAGTACAAGAGTTCTCTACGTACATTCTCTCCACAAATGACAGGTGGGTCTTCAGGACCCTGTAACTATCTAAGCCTCCTCCGAGTTGTGAACCTCGTGGGGCAGGTCCGAAGGTTGACTTCACCTTTTGAGCAATGGTTGACATGGTACTTGAATAATTGTGATATTGTAAGCAAACAGGGTCAGAATAGAGAGGGAGGTGACGCGGCACGCTGAAACCTGAATATATATAGACTCACTGTGACCCCGACTGGAACACTCTCAGATAGTCACCAGTCGCCCAAACAACAATCGTAGTGTCCACTTGCCTTCAATCATCCAAAATGCGCTCTATCAAGTTCGTTCTTTATTGTTTTGCCACTGTTACATCAGCAGGGCGTTTCCACAAGCGGGAAAATGCTGATGGTAGCATGTCATTCGAGCTCTATGCTTACGGTGACGGCATTGGCGGGTTGCCTATCATGTCCGACGGATGTGAGCCGCTCCTCAGAATCTTGCGTACCGACCTGACTGACCATTATGTGAAGCTCAAGTTTTTATTAGTAGCTCGTATGGCCTGAATAGCACGGAGGGAGCCGTGGTTACATGTTAGTTATGACGCACAAATGCAAGCCTCTAGAAGTTGACTAATGATGCACAGTCACCGTTGGCCAAGAAGGCACATGGTATGGATTTCCCAACTCAACGTCAAATGCTGGCAACACTCCAACCTGGAGCAATCTTACTCTCAGTATTCCAAATCCTTCGTCTGGGTCTGACGCAGTGCACCTTGATAAGCCATCCAGCACGACTGGAGATCGAATCAGCGATGGCTTTGGGTTCTATGGAACTGTAGCTTACCACCTCGCATCTGGTGGCGCCTTTGAGTCCCTGTGGGCGGCTGATCAATTGGGAAGTGGCAGAGATACGAGCGCCATCCAGTGGAATACAACCGATGGTACGACAGGGATGGTTTCCATCATTCTCAAGTCTACCCCTCCGTCAAGTGGTGTGCCTTGAGGCCAGTTCTGAGCCACGCACGTTTCGCACCCTAGCCTGCAAACCATCCTGTGATGTAGGGCTCCAGCGCGAGTATCTACTGAGGGAAGGGGTCTTGCCCAGGTCAATCCGGCAGCCAGTTGTTGTGTTTAAGATAGAAGAACATCTGAAGTTTGCCTTCTGCATCTATGAGGGCCCATGGCCATGGATGTGCCGATGGAGTCTCGTGCCCCCAGAATACTCTCATGGACCTCCTGTTTGAGATTGCCCCGGAGATACCTCTTGACATGTGCAACCAGAAGTTGCGTTTTAGCTGTGAAATATTCGGGACACGCTCCTGATCCCGAAAACTTTAGCGCTAGGAAAGCCTAGCTGAACAAGCACAATTTGCAGCGAGCTTTTCACATGGCAATCAGACGTGTTCTTCTCTTGTGGGTGCCAAACTCATTCTTGCAGTGCTGGCAGCTTAGCGTGTAATTTGAGTGATATGCCGCCGACCTCTTAACTTTCTTGTGGATGCCAAGATGCGTCCTCAAGATCTGATAATGTCCACAATAGTCCAGTTTCTAATGCTGGACTTCCCATTCTTCAAGCCAAGATTTGACAAATTCAACAATGAAACTTTGGGCTTTTTTCACTGGGTGTGGCGGTAACTGACATGTCGTTTCGTTCTTGAAAATGCCATTCTCATCCCAATGATGAACAGCGCCACCGCCAATGATCATACGAGGTTCGCTGACCGTGGACTCTGGATACTGAAGCCCGATCTTATGTGGTGTAGCAGCACGCCATGGATCAGCTTCGCCATCTATTATGGCCACACGTGGGAAGCTGAAAAGGAAGCCACCGTGCTTGTTGATGTTCTCCACCTTAGGCTCGTCGAAGATATTGAAAGCTTTGCGGCATGTAGTTGAGGTGAAATTGTAATCAATCAGACGCGAGATCAATGGAAGTTGGCTGTCTGGGACGCCTGATCCTGTCTGGAAGTAGCCCCATCTACGAAAAGGGGTTAGTGCTAGTGTAAGTCTGCCTCGGAACAATAATTCACTTACTCAGTGCAGACTTGATATTGCCAAAGCCTCCAAACCTGATTAAGGTTGTCCGTGGAAAAGTCTGTCCGGCCTCCGAAACATGAGTCCTGCGGACGCCCACGGCAAGTCGACACACGTGTGAGGTTGACGTAACCAATGTAATTCTGCATAGTAAGCGTGAGGGCATCAATCTCGTCTTGATACCCTCCTGTCACTAGGATTGACTTGATGGAGTCTTTCAGATCGTTTGTTGCAGGGTATAGAATCTCGGTCGATGTCATGTTGCCGCAGTAAAGCGCAAAAGCAGGACTATTTATGGCCGGATCCCAGTTGACCGATTGCAGTCCTGCGATCCCACCCCTGATGGCGCTTGCAAAATGAACATCGCGAGTGACATTGGTGAGTCCGAAGACCGTCTTGAGCTGTAAAATGTCCTCTCGGTCGCCGCCCAGCAGAATGTTATCGACCACGTGGGTCACCTTTTGCGTCGCTGGTGCGCAGCCTTCCGGCGCGAAAAGTCGAGCAGCTTCGTAGTACTCCCAGAAGTCGACTACTGCAGCTGTTACACCCGAAGATGAGATGGCGCCCCAGAAAGTGTCGGGGTACAGCTTGCGGAGAATGGCGACGAACGCACCGGCGTAAGAACCGCCATATGCGACCCAAGGGGTGTTTGGAGAAGTGAGATTTACGTCCTCATATCCTGGAAATACAATATTCTGGGCAAAGTAGGCTGTATCGGCCAAAGCCTGGTCGGTGGTCAGGAAGCGTAAGTTTTCGGTGCTGAGATCTTCCGTCACGTAGCTAGCTCCGTAGTAGCGGTGCTCGAGAATGACGCCGAGACCGTTCGTCGCCTCAGCCAGGATTGCAACGATGCCTTTCTGCAAGAACGGCAGGCGCCCCTGGCCACTCGTTTCGCCACCGGAGAGGACAATCACAGGGCCGCCCTCCTTATAGAAGCGATCATCAAACCAGTATCGTAAGTTGAATGATCCATTAGAGTGCGGTTCATATTTTGATTCGTTGTGGAAGTGATCGATGGGTACCGACAGCGTGTAAGACGGATAAAGAGTTGCGGGGTCCGGTGCGCCGCCGTTATTTTGTCTTGTTTTAAGAAGCGGCGACGCAAGGTTCTGAGTGGCATCTTCTACCAACCCCTGAAAGAAGCCGAGGTTCTCCGTGGTGCCAAGTTCCGTGGAGGCGGCTACAAGACCGAAGGCTTGTGAAAGAAGGAGAAGGCCCGCGGCAAGCCGAATGATCGTCATTTTGACTTTGATATAGAATTGGAATTGGAGAGTAGGCATCTAATTGCTGAGGTATGTCCATTATTTATCTTCGCCGTGGGAAGAAATGACCCCTCGTCTGTCGACGGACTACTGCAGTCCGGGTGCCGACGCCACCCGGCCGAGTGTGACCTTCCGTATCGAGGAATCGAGAGGGTCTATACGATTGGCCTGTGATAATAATTTAGGAATGATCTCCAACGTCTGGGCCAGATCCCACACAAAGGTGCTTATCCAATGCCCCAGCCATGTGTCTAACATGTCGTCACGGGTCGGGTGACCGCTGAGTCTCCACGGAAGCCCATGACCGAACTTTGAGAAAGGTGGAAGATGAGCAAGTAGACCGATGAGATATACCAACAGCCGCCATCTGCTGAGAAAAGACGGTCATCTGTCCAAACTGCCCATGCTCGTTGATATCGCATTCTATGCCCTGAATAAATTGAGCAATTATGGGATTGACGTAGACAATATTGTGAAAAGACACTGCATCGACTATTTATTTCCCACTGCCAAAAAGAGCACCTATGAATATCTGGACAGCTGGCGATAGAGCATAAACAAGTCTATTGACACAGGCAAAATTCGAGCCAATTCTCCACAGCTGCGGCTCATATAGTTCAAGCATGAGAACATGCCTGAAGCTCTGACGGTGAACAGGAACTCATTCCAAAATATCTCACGGAATGCTAAACAACCGGCCACTCTCTTCGCTTGACCCTAATCTTGCGAGCCCTAACGGAATGTCTTGAAACGACGCCTCCTCAATGTGTGGTTTCAGATCGCCTGCAGCTATCATGTCCAAGACATCCCGCAATTCATCGATGCTGGCACTCGTTGAACCTTTGACCGAGATATTTTTGGTGACGAGCTCCGACATTGTCGAGGTTATCTGCGGCGCGGCTAAGCCGACCACAACCACCGTGCCTCCCGCCCGGGTAGCAGACATGGCACCCTCGACAGCTTGCTGAGCGCCGGCGAAATCAATAACAACATCAAAGGCTTTGTCTGCAAAATTTTAATGTTGGTTGCCAGAGCCTTAGCTCCGGCTGCACGCGCTGGCTCGAATTTGGCAGGGTTGATGTCAAAGCCCTAGACCTCAGCCCTTAGCCTGGCGGCAATAGCAAAACCATTGAGCCCAAGTCCACCGAGGCCGATGATACAGACGGCGCACGTGGCTGTGACTCGACCTTCGGCGACAACAGCATGATAGGACGTCGCAATGGAGTCAGTCGCCACTACTGCCTGAGCGAAGCTTACGGCATCCGGAAGCTTCACCAGGTTCTTGATGGGCGCAACAACATTTTCAGCATAGCACCCGTCGCATCCGACGACCAGAGCTTCACTCAAGTTTCAAGTTTCATTCCTCGATAGGATGTCCTACACAGGCAACGGCCACACGATCGCTCACAGTCAGGGAAGCACAATCACTGTCGATTTCGGTGTTCGTCCCAGCAATCTCATGGCCCAGCACCGCGGGGAGCGTGCACATCCAAGCAGCGCCGCCACCTTTGATAACGTGCGTGTCGGAACGACAAAGACCAGCTGCCTTGACTTTGATCAGAGCATGGCCTTTGCCGGGCTTGGGGATTGGTAAGTTGCGGAGCTGAAGGCCGCTGGCAGTGCCTGTGAATTGGAATGCCTTCATGTTGTTTTCGGTATGATTGAATTTGATCTGAGGAAGAGATTCTAAAATAATATTTGTCGTCGCTGTCTGAGTTGTGCTGTATGGAAGAGCTCGTGATGCTGAGCTGGTGCTTGAACACAGGCGTGTATTGGACAATGTTTATAGCATTAAGGATCCCTTAGTATAATTACGCCTTGCTTCTCAGACTTGATGGACTCAAGTGACAAACTATGGATCACAATGGGTCATCCATGGTAGGTACTGAATAGTGGGCTGAACTCCACAATTGAATTTGAACACCTAACTTAGCCCGTCTCAAGCAGTGGAGGAGAGAAAGTTGATTCTATAGATTATGATCGGAGGAGGTGGGCTAAGGGGACATCATAGATCCATGCGAGGGCTGGCGTTGAGAGCAGGTTCTATGGTTCCCGGAGTTACAATCATCTTCACAATATGTATCACATCCGTGACGAATTACTGATGTATTAATTTAAATGTCCCTGTCTGGTCTTTATGAAACCTTCATTTGACCCATAAAGTCATCACAGCCTCAGGACACGATCGCCTACAACTATTGTGTCATCTCAATTACTGATCAGATATAAATCTCTACCGGTAGATATGACCTGATGGCGGTAGCTTCGGCTGACGATAGAGGTGTTTTGCCACGCGTTGCAGTCATCACCCTATCCCGCATTCTCGATGGATATGTACGGAAGAGTTTATTTCTTGAGCTGAGGCAGTGGACGCGAAGCAATTAAAGAGCTCGAGCCAGAGTAGCATTACTTCTCTTCCCCTGAGAACTAGTATTTGGAGTTGAATCAAGGCTATACTCTACGGGGGGTACCAGTCTGAATGACCTGGCGTTCAACGATCCTTCAATCGTCCCTGCATTCCCAAAAAGACCTTAAATGAATATTTTTTTAGAATTGCCCGGACTCGTTACAGGTTTTCTTGATCCTCGCCGTTATCAGATACATATGTCTGGCAGTCCGTGCTAGTATCGACATATCGTCGTGTCGCTGATCTGAGGCTACCGGATCTAAAAATCATACCTGAATGGCGCAGTGACGGCTCTCACGTAGCCGTGAGCTGACATACGGCATGTAAATCTAAACGTATGACCTGTCAAAGAATGGCTTCCGCATCGCTCGGCGCTTATATTATATTCTCGTTATCCTTCTTCAAAAGACTTCCCCCTCAGAAACGGGCCAACATCGATCAACTTGTTTTCTCTGATGATTCCTACTGATCCATTCACATATAAAATGCGAGCCATGGTCATAGTATAGGCGCTGCCGCCGATTGCGAGTACCGCCAGCCACGAACAGAATTTCTGGGAGTTCCGCCAGCAGTCGGGGCCAAGCCAATCTTCGTGGACTTCTGGCTGACGCCATTCCGAATGTATCCTCGCCGGGTTGACTCGCTGTCATCAATAGAGTGGTCAATGGGATGGACACTCGGCATGTTACCTCTATCTCCATGCCTAGATTCTGTTACGGCAATGATGTCGGCCAGCCGCAGGGCGATGTACATGTACTACCTTTCTTTTAATACAAAACTAAGTCCATTTTGTTGGCTGGCACTTAGCTAGGCCTGGCAAGGTGGGGCGAGTTCTCTTTGTCATCCTTAAAAACAGGTATGGCCTCGCCCCCCAATTTTACAAGGCGTATAGCAAGATTTACGGGCAAGAAGTTGCGATGATGAGCCCTCGTCTCTGGTCTGGCTGTGATCGATCAAGAACAGGATGATGTCTGCGGGGTGGTGGGGGAAACTCCGCCAACGATCAGGGCAATTGCCGTTAGTTGTGGTGGGTCTCAGGTCAAGCACATACGCGGCCCAATCATGCGGCAGCAAAAAGATGCATCGTGACGATGATCAGAACTTGCCAAGATTCGGAACCACGGACTGCGGGGTGGAGGTTATAAGCGCAATGCGGAGAGGGTGGCTTTGCGTTCAGTCCCAGCATCTCCTTATGGGTCGCTGGCTCAAGGGATCAACGAGACGAGATGAGTATCACAGGTCTTAAACCCATGAAAGTATTCTCTCCCTCGGCCTCGGGCCTGACGAGCCCGAAAACTGAGCCAGGTCAGTCGGAATACTTGTCTGGAAAAGAGTGGTATCCACATGTCAAGAAAGTACATAAACGGAGCTAAACCATCTATCTCGCCTGTCTCTAATTTTCATCATCGACGCTATTTTGAGGCCCATCTTGAGTTCCCACTCGTTCTAGACTTAATTCGGAACAATGGCCCGAATTCGACGCAAGATCATATCTGCCGCATTTGTCGTGCTCGGTACCATTGTCTCTCTCAGCACCTCATCGTTGTCGCCCGCCGTTATGTCGCCCGCCGTTATGTCGCCCCCCGTCAGTTACAATAACGTGCTCATCCACCAACGCGCGGACCCCCAGATTGTGAGACATACCGATGGGTGGTATTACTTCACAGCTTCAGTCCCTGAGTATGATCGGGTCATTCTTCGTCGTTCTGAGACTATACAAGGTCTTGCGGACGCTGAAGAGGTCGCCGTGTGGACAAGGGCGGCCTCGAATGCAGGTGTAGGCTACGTTTGGGCTCCAGAGCTACATTACATCGACGACAAATGGTACATCTATTTCGCCTTGGGGCGTGCTGCTCCTTTCGATATTCGCATGTTCGTCATTGAAGGAACAGGAGACAACGCACTGACTGCCGACTGGGTTGAGAAGGGTTTTATTACTTCGGACTGGGATACGTTCTCCCTCGATGCCACGACCTTTGTTGTCAAGGGCACACGATACCTGTGCTGGGCTCAGTCAGATCCCAACTGGCAAAACGGTGTTGGTACAGGTCTAATGTTGGCTCCAATGGAGAACCCATGGTCCATCCGCAAGCCCGCAATCGTCATCACCCGGCCAGAGCTACCTTGGGAACGTATTGGCCACAACGTCAACGAAGGGGCATACGTGCTCGAACGTAATGGCAAGCTGTTCTTGACGTACTCTGCAAGTGCCACCGACCATAACTACGCGATGGGTCTTCTGACAGCCGACGCTGACGCCGACTTGATGGATCCGACATCATGGCGCAAATCGCAAGAGCCAGTTTTCACCAGTAATGCGCAAACCAGTCAGTGGGGGCCCGGACACAGCGCTTTTACCGTCTCGGAAGACGGCTTGAGTGACCTGCTCGTCTTTCATGCCCGTCAGTATAAAGAAATCGAGGGGGAACCGCTAAACAACCCTGATCGTCATACTCGGATCCAAAAGCTGTACTGGAACGCCGATGGCACCCCGAATTTCGGTATACCGGTCTCAGACGGGGAGACTCCCAGCCGCCTGCGTTCTTCGGCAAACTCAACGCAATACATTCGTCATAACGAACAAGGTTTTGTTACAGTCGAGGCAGACATTGGCTCTCTGGGCGAAAATATTTTCCGTATCGTCAGTCCTGGGCTTGCCGGTAAAGATGAAGTGAGCATTGAGTCTGCTAGCCAGCCTGGATCCTTCCTCCGGGTTTCCGGCTCTAGCGTCGAAATTCACCCGTATGATAACTCGACCGAGTTCGGTTTTTCGTCCAGCTTTTTCCACCGTGAGGGTCTTTCTGACCCGAAAGGAGTCTCATTCGAAGTCGGCAAGGACTCAGGCCTTTACATTGCCTCTGAGAGTAATGGCCTGGGGGTCGTCAACATTGCTGACATCAAAGGGCGTCTCGATGTAGCTACCTTCTACAAGGAATAGTGCGTCTTAGCTAATGAAGCTTTCGCTAAGAGACATATGGTTTCGAGACCAAAATGACACAACGTTTGATGACTGAAACCCTTCTCCTATTTTCGTTTTCATGTGAACTGTCACCTGCAGCAGCTGCTGGGATCGTGTCAAAGATACATATCCCCTGATTCGTGATTCATTTGGGCCGGAACTAGTGGGCAGCGATGTACCTGTCGCCTTCAGGCAGAAATTCCCATCCAGGCTGCCCCTCCAATGACGGCGGCACCGATGACATACGGACTGATCTTGATAGCTGCAGCTCGAAAAACCCTGAGCTGCTTATTGACGATGATCCGTCGGAGCTCTGCCGCCTCGTTTCCGTGTGGAAATGGAATTTCCGGAATATCCCTGCCCAAAAATTCGCAAAGTGGTTGCCACCCATCACCCAGCTTGTACACCAGTAATTGTTCCGCAGGTACGAGTCTCTGAACACCGTCGTTGTGGCGATCATAAAGTTCTCTCGTTCTCGAAACCAGATCGCCAAGATCTTCGGAACGTGTCCAACCAAGCATCATTTTTTGGACGTTTGTGGCGGAATGATCTCCTGTCCACGGCTCAAGGTAGTTTTTGATGAACATCGTGACCCTGCCGAATATGCCCGACAACATGTCAACGAATGACTTATGCCACTTGTCATAATCTCTGATGACAATGATGACCTTTGCGTTTGGGTATGATGCAATGAGGGACTCGGCGAATGGCCCTGCCAGATCGGTGACGGCCTCGCATGGGCCAAATACTGCGTTCCAATCCTTCGCTGTCATACCATTGCCATTGTATGACGGCAAGCTCGGGAAAAGTGCGTCTGCTGCACGACCGAAGACCTCGAAGTCTTCGGGATTGTCGATAGCGTGGAGACCATGGTAGACGTTTCTGTAGCCCAGTGCTGTGAGAGCCAGGCAGATGGAGTAAGAGCCTGTTCGAGGAAGTCCTACACTGAGGACCTTCATCTCCCTTGCGACCGGGGCAGCGCTCGGCTCGTTGACTTCCTTGCGCATGTTGCCTCTTCGTTGGTGTGGGACAATCGCATACAATTTCTCTCGCAAATTAGAATGATCTGCCAGAATCAGCGTTGCGGCCAAGACTTCGAACTGTTTAGAGATGGCCGACCGGCATTCTTGAACCAAGGCTGGGCTCGTACACCTGAGCGGTGTGGTCTGGAGGATCACACGCGTCAGCCATTTGTGTATGTCCAATCAGGCGGAGGAGGGGGCCGGGGGCCCACCTTCGAACCTCGCTTGACTGCAACCAAACCCAAACTTGGTGTGACAGCAACGCCAGGCCGCCGAATATTTCTGTCAGTGCGCAGATTCACTGGCCTTGTCACTTGCGATTGGCTGGACGCGAATCATTTTTTCTCTCGATGTAGGTAGGTAGTTGAATTAAAGTCCTCGTGTACAGTCTACGCCAACGTGGCCAAGCACCCAAACCTGGACACCTCAGTGAAAGCCCTCGGGCCAATAGTCAGCAAGCCACTCATATGGCTCCTCAGGCTCATAAAAGTTTGTCACTGAGCCGTTGAAGCTGGTTGTGATGTGGTCTGTTGTGGTATTGTAAAGCGCATACTTTTCGTCGGGACCGGTGCCAATTGTGTATGGCACCGTTTGGACGTTGTTCCCGATCTCCTTGTCGCAGATGCGGTCAAGACCGCTCAACTGGGCGTTCTTTAGTCGGAACTCGTCGCCGTAATTCGGGTTGATCTAGTAGTGGTCAATATTCGAAACAACCGACATCGGCTACATTGGTTGGAAGACTCACGATGCCCATGCGAATTCCGTCTACGGCAACCACGTTTTGAATGGTTGCGTTACGCTTGGCTTGGTTCAGACAGTTTCCGCAAGACTGGTAGAAAGTACCAAATCCCTCGGCGTAGAAGCCAGTAATGTTGTACTTTCCACCCAGTGAGTTGTCCTGGAAGATCTGCGAGGTTGGTTAGCGGACATCCTTTGGATCCCAATTCGAAGTTATGATTGACCTTGTCTGTTGCGTTGCGGGCACCGCCACCAATGACTCTCAGCTGGGTGTTCAACCCCTTGGCGGTCAAGGCGTCCTCGCAGACGTCCTCCCACCAAACTAAAAAATCCATGTTAGTCTCTGTGTCCAACGGTCATGTCATCCAGCCCAGCTTACCGTTCTCGACCCAAGCGTCGCCAAGGGCATGAATGCCCTCGGCTTGATGCTTGCCAATTATAACATTCCTGATTGTGGACCCGGCCATGAGGTTGAATACAGCATCGGCGTCGGTACCTTCGGCCTGCTCATTACAACTTCCTTCGGGACGTTCGTAACGCTTCATGCCTCCATCGAAAACCTGGCCGGGCATAATGTACATAGCGTTCTCAAGAACGACTGTCTCGTTGGCGACAGGGAACTTGGTGACAGGGAAAGGGAATCGAGGAGGAGGCCTCTCTCCCAAATCACCTTGAGTCGAGTCCGAGTCGCCTTGTGAGCCATCCCCAGTCTGCCTACGCCCGACAGCGGCGGACTGGGCGAGAGCCGGGAGGAGACTCAGGAGAACGGCGGCCTTCATGGTGATCAAGGGAAGTGTTTTCTGAGTATGTCGAGCAGACAGTTGATCGTATGGGTCCCGCTGAATGAGGTCTTGAAAGCCAATTGATGATCCTAAGGAGACAGAGAGATCTGCATGATGAGAGGGCGCAGATTATGGGCTGTCTTTTATACTTGAGATCTCATCATTTTCTGAGGGAGGCTGGCACAGCGGTGACGGCTTTCCTCGAACCAAGCCTTGGCAAATTGTACACGCCGATCACTCTTTGACACAGCAAATTCTACAGCAGATCTTCTACTGCTCTCATACGTTGAGGCTCGTGCGTTTGTCACTCGTTGCCATCTCGAGTGGCTCATGAACGGTCGGTGGCTTGCATGGATCGGAAAAATTGATCATGGGTTTCCATGAATCACAAGCCGTGGATCTTGGAGCGTCTGCCCCGAGCTTGGCGCATGCTTGTTTTCATGCTTAACTTTTTCCCCGCATCTGTTGAGATTGGCTGATCACGGTTTTGCGGGGCATGGGGTTGGGTGGTCCTCCCCCTCGATTTTCCCCAAGATCGCTCTGCTGTGCATCTGCCAGCCTAGCCTGCAGGGCTCAGTAATAGCCTGAACGTACCTTCGAGGACTTGGCCAGCTAGACAACGGCTTTCACTTGCTGTATTGGGACGCGCATGACCTCATGGTTGTCGAGCCACAGAAGCAGCATTTGCAACGGAAGATCTCACTGCTACCTGAAATTGAGGCCAGGTTGGAGTCGATCCACCAACTATACTTAAGATCACTGGCCAGGATCATGTGAATCCTACACCAAGGCTAGAAGAAAAGGACGTAGCAAAGCCTGCGTCGCGAAAGTCATATGCGCCACAGCCAGCCACTGCGGTCCTGGCACTTTACGGAAATTTCGCTTCCTCTCTGGAGCAGCTGAGCAATCAGGAACAGAGATCGGCGCTTCCCGTCAGCTTTTGTATTGACCCAAGCATTCCCTATTCGCTTTTCCCTCAAGTGCTGGCGACAGTCACAAATGCGCGGCTTATCAAAGCTCACTGATAAATGAAAAGGTATGTTATTCTGTGGATCGTCACATCACCAAAAGCTCACCCGACCTTTCTACCTCCCTATTAATATTATGGTCAAGGTGCCTATTAAAATTCCTTCTCCTCGCGGGCCTGTAACTATTCAAAGTCATGGAGCAGTCGTCGAGAGGAATGGTAGTAGCCGTTGAGTCAGTCAGCTTCTCTAAGCCGAGAATTTGGTGACAACGAATGTTGGTTCACAGGCCTTGTGGCATCTCGGTAATATCATGCTCGAAGGAGAGCTATCCGTCGGCCTGTATACTAGTTTTCGCCATTAGACTTCCATACTTGTGTAGCCAGGAAGTAGGTATTGATCAAATGTGGCGGCGGCTCTCTTGCCATTATTTCGCCATCGCCCATCAATAGATGGAACAAGGACAGGTTCAGAAAACCACCTGAACTGTAGCCGCGTTGCCTGCTTTGGACTTCATTCCATGGTTCACTCTCCATGCCTATGCTAGTCTTCGAACCGTGTCTTCTGGGAATCATTGCAATACGTACGTGGCATCTAATATGTTGCCAGGGTCAAGAATTGTCTAGATACCACTATCTACAACTACGTATATGAAGCCCAAAATCAAAGCCGTGTAAGCCCTTGATACGATTGGGCTCTGGAGTAACGCATCAGAACGAAGGTATACACCCCAAGCGACTGAATATACCTGTCAGGCGGTCCCTGTGAAGCCACGGAACGGTGCTGGTCAGGACCTAGGGACGACGGGCACGCGTATGTATGAGTCACAGAAAGAAGTCCTAGCTAAGAGAGCCAGAATTGAAGTAACGTTCCTCCCTCGGATGGTCCTGGTCCCGCGGGATTCATACAGAATTCAAATGTGTTCTACAACCATATACACTATTCATTGCCTGCAGACCTAATGCAAAATTCTTTTCTCCCCTGCTCAACCCTACGGTCTGATGGATATCTAGCGAACCGATTAGCGAACCGATAAATTGAATGGCAACGTGCTGAGTCGAAAGTCTAAGTGGCAGCGTTGCATCAAGTTCAGCGATACCCTTGCTTGTTCATGCTCTCAAATCGATTGGAAGAGACTCGTATCAGCGTCAATTTGTAAATGCTCAGCGAGAGCTATGAAGGCACCAGAAAGAGTAGCGAAACTAATAGCTCCCATCCCTGATATCATGACTGGGGTTGACAGTTGATGAATCGTGACTCGAGTATGGATGGTGCAATCTGAAAGCCAGACTTTCGCTTTGGCTCCAAGCGATGAAGAGGAATTGATAAGCAGACCAGAGTCCATCCACCAATATAGCCCGCAGAGGCCGGATAACATGGCACACGATGCATAAGGTCGCTCGATAAGGAGTGATGCGGGTCTACCGTGTTTTGCTGTTGATCTGAATGGTGAGTTTTCACGAGGGCCCTGCAGATAGCGTCAATGCTAAATGTTGCGCAAGATCACGTCATGCATCCAACTGGCCACCCGGCGGGGCCGATGGATTTCATACTTCTTCCCCTGCTATGTATTTCAAGTGTCCTCTGATCTATTGCACTGTTGATGGCCTTCTTAGCTGTTTAACTTTCCCTTTAAAACGGATCGAGCTGAAAGTACCAACACGAAATGCCAACTTCAATTGCACAGTCAAAGCCCATCGAGGTGGTCAACCCTAATATCATCCCCTTCGCGAATCCAACAAGTGTTTCAGACACATCTCATAGCCTTACTTCAGCCTCGGTGGATGACAAAACATCACCGGCACAAAAGTCTGTGGCTGTCATCGGCGCAGGAGTGAGCGGTGTCTTAGCCGCCGCTCATCTCCTGAGGCGCAACCAACGCGTAACCGTCTTCGAGAGATCCTCATCCGCTGGGGGAATATGGCGATATATCGAGGATCGACCAGAAGACCCCGAATATCCTGTTACTCTGGCTGCGGAAAGTTCTTCTGAGGTCTTTCCAGATAGACTTTCCTCAAGAACAACCACACTACGGACAGAGAAAGGCCTGACTCGGAAAACGTTCGCACCACCTGGACCTTGCTACGCAGGCCTCCGCAGCAACATCCCAACCTATCTCATGAGGAGTTCTCTATCTGCCTGGCCCGAAAGTGCTGGCCGCGATGTGGTTCCTCATCACTTGGTCAACAACTACATTCAAGGGCTTGCACAAGATTTCGGCGTGAATGCTGTAACTGAATTCAACACGCGCGTGGAAGAAGTTATCAAGCCAGAAGGTCAAAGTCAATGGAAGGTTCGAACTCTTCGAATCGACAACAAATGCACAAAAGATACAGAGCCTACATTCTTCGAGGAGCAGCACTTGTTTGACGCTGTCGTTATCGCGTCTGGTCATTATGACATACCCTTCATCCCCAAGATCCCAGGGCTGAGTACATTGAAGAAACAATTCCCCGAAAGAGTCACCCATTCCAAGCAGTATCGTCATCCGGAGACTTTTGCTGGCCAGAATGTTGTCGTCGTCGGTGGCCGGGTGTCGGCCGTCGACATATGTCGTGAGTTGGCCGGCATCTCCGCCAAGACGTATCAAAGCGTGCGGGAGAGCACGGAAACCTTCAATTTCAACATTCTCGGCGATCAAACAAAGCAGATATCGGAGATAGATCACATTGCCCTCAAGAACCAGGTTTCTGCAGACGAGACATTTCTGGAACAAAACAATGTTCTCCCGGTACAGCTCCATCTGAAGGATGGTCGCGTCTTGGATGGCATACACGCCATCATCTTCGCCACCGGATATCAGCTCACGTATCCATATTTGAGATCTTTTGAAGTTCCTCCAGATCAGGTGACTCGGACGTCACTCGTCGAATCCACGAAGTCGACAGTCCACAACCTCTACAAGGACATATTTTACATTCCTGACCCAACTCTGACTTTCGTTGGTACGCCATTCGATATTGTCACATTCGCCTGCTTCGACTATCAAGCCCAGGCAATCGCCCAAGTGCTCTCGGGTGCTGCGGCTTTGCCGAACCACGATACTATGCGGGCTGAGTACGAGACGCGACTGACAGCAAAAACTGCTAGCAGGCAGTTCCACAGTTTGCGAGGCCATGAGATCGAATATGTTCAAGGTCTGGTTGATTGGCTCAATAGTGAAGCTGATCGTTTAGGAGTAAAGGGACAACACATAGAGGGATATTCGAAGGAGTGGATCGAAGGATACTGGATTTTGCAGAAGAGGGTGTCGGCAGCTCTGGGGTTGCAGGACCCCGCGCAATTGGAGACATAGATTGCAGTATGGCCTGCCGTTTGTTCTGAACAGGCCAGGACGTGCGGTGATTGTGGTAGCTGGATTGTCGAAAAACTTTCAAAGAGAAAGACCACATACGGCTTCTAGCATTTTCCGACCATCCGGCTCATGCAACGTGATGTATGTAGAAACGAGTAACATCAAGACGAGGATTGTTCACAAACAACACGAACTCCGACACGCCAAGACTCATTGTATTGGCTAACCTCTCCCCTTTCCAAGGAGTTCACTGTCCTGAGAGACCTCCGGTCGGTCCACCCCCAACCTTTGGCGAGCCCACCTGCAATGAGCCCGGAGTCCGCATTCAAATACCCCACCGGCCGTCATACTGGACAACCGCATTAAAGGAGTCCCTGTGCAAATAAAAAGGAACAAACATTCCCGTTGAGGCCGAAGACCATTCTGAAAGTGTTTCCCCCTCCCGTTCCCCAAGAACCTTTCGTGGTGGGTAAATCGTACAAAGCGCTTAAAGTCATACACACACTCTCGATTTGAGTGAGAAACAGTCGCATGAGTTTCCGTCCAATTACCGCATGTCGAAGCTAGACCGCTCAGCTGGCAGGAGATCAGTCTTGATTGCTCGATCTCCAATCTCTCCGCGAACTACCTCTCTAATGGTAGTTGCCGCCCCAGCCGCGCTGCTGCTGTTGCTGCTGTTGCTGCTGGCCGCCGCTGCCATAAGCCTGGGCCCCGTACGAGCCATAGGCCTGACCGTACGAGCCGAAGCCGTTGTTAGCGTGCTGTCCGCTACCGCCCATACCGTATCCGCTTCCGCCGTGGTGACCATGGCCTTGCGCGTGGCTAGGATAGCCGCCGTATCCACCCATTTGCGAGGCAGATTGAGGGGGGGGCAGGCCAGACTGGCTGGACGTGTTCTGCGTGGCAGAGCCAGGGCGAGCACCGCCGAGAGAGGGTGAAGGGCCCGCTCCGGCCTTGGTTTCACCGTATGGCTTCAGGTCGTCGCCGGTAGATGCGCCAGTCGACGGCTGAGCGGAGGCGTTATAGCCCTGGCCAGAAGACTGAGTGGGGAAAGACGAGCCGCTACGACCGAAAGAGTCCTGGATACCTCCAAAACCACTGCCGCCAAGGCTACCAGGGTTGCCAGACTGCGCAGAGCCGGCGCGGGCACCATAGTCACCACCAAGACTAGAGCCACCCAGGCCGCTGTCGCCACGATGGAGAGATGATTGGGCGAATCCGCTGGCGGGAGACGAGGCATGTTCATAGGGGCCCTGAGGGGACATACCATACGGCTGTCCATACATGCCAGCCTTGCCGTAGGGGCCACCTCCGTAGCCACCCTGGCCAAAGTGTCCGCCGTAGCCCATGTAGTTGGAGTAGTAAGGGTTGTTGTAGTAGGGGTGGTTGCCGTTACCACCACCATAGGGGTAGTTCTGTTGGCCGTGGGATTGCGGCTGGGTACCTTGGCCGGCGGCTTGCTGCTGAGCTTGAGTAGAGGGATTGGGAGTCGTGTGTCCGCTATTGGCATCGTTTGAGACGGCCCCACCGTAGCGAGACTGGTTGTGAAGACCGGCGCTCTGGGGGTACTGGCTGATGTTCTCGGCCTGCGACGTGTTGTAGCCGCTGAAGGATCGCTGCTGACCGGCGACGCCTTCCTGGTGGCCTTGGCCACTTTGCTGGCCGTAAGGCTGACCGTAATAGCTATAGGGGCCGCGTCCCTGTTGGTCGGAGGTGTAGTAGGAGGAATACTCGCTGGGCGCGGAGCTAAATGCGCCACCAGGCTGTTGAGCCTGTTGCGTTTGCTGGCTTGGGAAGCCGTCCAGACGGTTGGGAGTAGAAGCAGTGTTGGTTTGTTGCGAGAAGGGATCGACCGACTTCTGGGGGAAAGACGACGCATCCTGTGAGCCAGGCTGGCCGTACTGGGAATACTGTCCCTGAGGCTGTCCAACGCCAGGAGGAGCTGTCGGGAGGTCAGCGACATGTGACTGTGTGATGTTTTGATTCGACTTACGCTGAATCCCAGAGGCGGGCTGGGCCGCAGAGGCGGTAGCGGGCGTAGCTGTAATGTGATGATGGTTAGCATGCTTCGTCAATCAAGACCTTTGTCATAGGTGTTTACCTGAGGGGGCGACGGAAGGGGCAGGGGCCGCCTGCGTCTTCTGGTTGCTGAAGGCCTCGGGCACGGCGGCCTGGGGGGCAGCAGGTGGGAGAGAGGTTCGGGGTTGGGCGATGGGGGACTCTGCGGGGGGCTGAGCGCGTGTTTCAGGTTCCTCGCGATCGCCATCAACATCATCCTCGCTGCCGATGTTGAAGGCACCGAACTGAACGGCGGTGCGGTCGACCTCGCGGTTGCCCGGCATGCGGACCGCCTCTTCCTGGTCAAGTACTCTGCGCTGGAAGCTGGGAGTACGAGTGGCGCGATCAGTAGTCGCCTTTAGAGCCGAGGTCGCATAGCCGCTGTTAGAGGTGGGGGTCGCCGGAGGGCGGGAGGCTTGGTGCGCTTGCTGTGCGGCAGAAAGAGGCGTCGCGGTGGCACTGGCAGCATTGAGGCGAGGATCCCACGAATCAGCTGCGGTGCTTGCCACGGTCGCGGTCGCGGGAGGGTGAGAATCATCAGCGACCTGTTCAAGATTGGTCTCAGTCAGTTGGTCCTTGGACGGCTGTAGGGCCACTTCAGGCTCAATGACGGTAGGTACTTCAGCTGCGATGGGCTCCTCAATGGCTTCGGCGGGAGCTTCAGGTGCGGTCTCGGGCTCGGGCTGAGCCTCGGCAGTAGGCTCGGGCTCGCTTTCGGGTTCAGCGTGGGTGACGGGAGGGAGAGGTTCAATGGATTCGGAAGGCTTCACGGTGGGAGCTTCCTTAGGTTGAGCGACGGGCTTCGGAACGGCAACCTGGCGGAGCATGCTGGCCCAAGTCTTGGGAGCGTTTGAAGGCGGGGCGGGAACCTGAGGAGATTCATCAATGGGAGCGATGGCAATGGTGGTGGGCTGGACGACAGAATCATCCGTCTTGGAGCCCCAAGCGGGCGACTCTTCGGTGGGCACCGAGAGAGGCTGACTGTCCTTTGTTGTCTGGCGAGCTCCGTTCGTAGGAGCCGGTTGTGAGGACCTGCCCCGACCACCACGCCCACCTCGCTCGGTGGCTCGGCCGCGGCCGCGTCCACCCTCTGAAACGATGCGACCGCCACGTACAGGCCTGCTGATGGAAGCAGATGAGTCGATGTTAGTGGCAGGAGTGGTCGAATCCTTGGCCTTGGCACGGGAGACCTTCTTCACCTTGGAAACTTCGCCCCATTGAGAGATGGTTCCTGCGAGATCACTTGGTTAGCCGCGTGGCCAGTTTGAAGACGAAATCGTATTGCCGATCATGAACTGGGAGGTGGAATGTGAACTGGGCGGACGTGACGGGCCGACTAGACCACAGAAGGGGGCTGAACATGGCAATTGGGGTCGACGCGACGCAAGCTTGTGGGGAGGCGAAAACGCACCTTCAGCGATGCGCGTGACAGCCTCGGTCTCATCACCATCTGTCTCCTGAAGAGCGAACAGAATGTCGACTTCAGACCACTCAGGGAACATCTCTTGAATCAAAGGCGTCTTGGCGCCGTATAGCTTCTTGAGTTCGCCGACCGCTCCCTCATCGTCAAACGCGCTCGGGTTGTCGACCTCGGACTTCGAATCAGTCTTGTCGGCGCCGTTGGTCCTGCCGCCGTTGCGACCTCCACGGCTGGCAAATCCGCCTCTGCCACCGCGACCAGAGCCCCTGCCGCGCGAGGCAGCAGGCCGCGTTTGAACGTCGGACATGATGTGGTGCTAGATGAAGCACAAAATTTGGGGGGTTTTTCCACGTGGGAAGGAGCAGGCTCGATTACGCACTGTCCCGGGGGGCAAGGCAGCTTTCGATGTCGAGTTGAGGATCGACTAGGTGTGGAAGAGGGAAAAAGGAAATGTGGCGGATGGACGGAAGGAAACGTCGCGCAGGCGGTCGGTGGGCTCGATGGGGTTGGTGATGATGATGAGGTGGATGGAGGAGGATGTTTTGTGCAGCTCAGAAAAAGTTGACCTTGAACTGAGAATGGAACCTTAGGCTCCAGCCCGGGGCGAACTGGGACAGGACCTGGAGACAAGAAACAGGCGTGAGCGTGTGTGGGTGCAGGGCAGCTGAGTTCGGGTAGGGGGGTGCTGCAAGGGAGCAGCCAGGGGCCATGCTCCAGGCACTTCAGCGGCCGTGTGCAGCAGGAACGGCCCCCTTTGCTGACGCTTTGGGTCTAGTCCATACTACGAGGGGGCTGTGGACAGCACGGATTAATGTTGTAGCGGTGCCAAGGGTCCTCCCGTTTATCACGTGAGCCGACCTTCGGGACTCATGTGACTGTAGCCTCGCTGTGTCCGGCCTCGTGGTGAACCACCAGTCCCCTGTCTGACGTGATGCCATCAAGCCATACTTTCGCCCATTCCACCTGTTGCCATTCTTAACGACGAAGGGTCTCCGACTTGTGGTCCTCATTGGGCACGACCTTCTCGCTAACTTGCTCCCAACCCAATCAACGATATCGTAACGGAGAACCAGTATCTACCGATTCGATCCTTTCTACATCTAGCCAAGGTAGCCATCCTGGGCACGGAGGCATCTGGTTGCGGCCATGTTCAACACGACAAAATCGCTTTCCTCCCTGAAGGGCGTATTCCCTTCCATTCACCAACCTCTACCTCTTTCTCGTACCGAATCTCAGAAGCTCCTCAATGCACTCAAGACGTCCTTTCGATCGAATCTCGATCGCGAACATGGCTGGGGTCCCGATGAACCCACGTCGTCGCCCAACAAATTATCTAGTCCAACAGTATCTGAGCAGTCCGGCATTCATCAACATCACAGACCCACCGACCAACATCTCCGCGCCATCCTCTCGAATCCGCTGTTCAAAAAGGGCATCCGCACAACCCCCCGCGCAGACGCATTACAAAAGGATCCGATGGAAATCTTTGACAAGGCTGTCGCGCGAGGCATGATGAATCGGAAGGCGGCAACAGGGTGCCTTATGGCCAAGCATCACCAGGTTCTTCAGTCAAGTCCATTGTCCATACAAGGTGCCATTATGGAATCGGCAGCTGGTCTACGAGTTCTTGATTGGTTACGGTCTTCCGGCGAGGAGCGAGATGGTGCGTTTCTGGGGGACGCGAGTTTCCTCAAGGCTCTCATGCGATTCCTCGTTGCGGAAGGTCACGAGGCCGTTGTGTGGGCATGGGCAGATCGCTTGGCGAGGCAGGACGGACCGTCAATACCAGAGGACCCTCGCGGCACACACCTCAGTTTCATTCTAACAAGTCTCATCAAGACAAAGGCCAACGGCTCCGATGACAGGAATCTGAACAGTGCTTATGCGACCATCCTGAGGGTCAACGACAGGTGGAAATCGGACAAGAACTTGCCGCAGCTTCTAAGCCATGCTTGGCGGTCACTCTCTTGGTACTCAACAGTCGAAGCCTGGAACAGGCCACGGCCTTCCGAAGCACTATTCGACAACTACGTTGCCCTTGAACCGGCACTACCCCATCCGATGTCCATCGATCGTGCGCATCTCGACCTACATCACCCCACTCACCCAAGCTTTGAGCGCGCACTACACTTCTTCAAAACGGACAAGCTTGTTGTGCCGCCTCAACCGAGCATTGTAGGAGCGAAACGGGCTCCAAACGTTCAGCGATTTGTTGCGCGCATAACATCAATGGGCATGGATACGGCGAAGCATTTAACTGAAATTGGGCGCACTGACGATGCTCAATGGGTGTTGCAGCTTCTCAAATCGAAGCTCTCCGACGAGGCAATGGATTATGAGCGGTGGCGGGTTGTATGAGTATGTCTTCACCACCAAGGACGTAGCTTGCTAAGGTTGCAGGATGTGTTTCTTTTTTACGATGATACCCACGAATTACCAGCGTTTTCTATCTCCACGCTTTGTCTCTACACTTCGTGATCCCCAGTTGCATGTATGACAAATGTCATGACTTGACGCTGTAATCCTCAACTTGGTGCACTCGCACAACTACGAAATTCTTGGCCCTCGCTCTAACATGAAGCAGCCCGTAAAGCAACACCAGTCAAACAACGCCGCGTTAGCATGCCAGGGCAAAGATTTGCAAGGTGACAGCTATGCGGAAGCCATGTGTCTCTCTCACTTGAAGGCGCCGAGAGTGGTTCCTCAGAGCTACTGAGAGGCTCAACTATGTGACGGCGTTGTAGTATCCTCGAGCCCTGCTACACGAGTATGTTTACTCCAGCCTCCGCTCCTGTATGGTTGAACTCAAAGTATGTGCATATCAGAGGGACGGGCAACAGTAATCGAATTGAGATGCAAAGGAAGTCGCCATCAAAGAGCTCAAGGTGTATTGCTATAATCAAATCAAGCAATACTTAATGATAATCGAAGAGGGGTATGCGAAGTTTGACCCCGCGCCATTCGTCAAGGGAATTAACGTCATAAGACGGACAACATAGGAAACCCAATCATCGTGAAGAAATCAAGGCTATCTCGCAGCTACTGGTGCTAGTGCTATCGCCGCCGCCGTCGCTTATATGTGCATGTAACAACTCACTCCGATAGTTGTAAAAGATCAAGGTTTGGGCACAACGTGAACGACAATCTTGCCAAATGGCGTCTGGCCGTGCTCGCCCTTGAGCTTGAGGTAGGCTTTGGGGACTTCATCAAACTCAAAAGTAGAGTCAATGATGGTCTTCAACTTGCCTTGAGCTATCCAGTCGGAGATCTGCTGAAGGTCGTCGTGGTCATTCTTGACGAGGAAAGTTTGGAACTTGCGCTTGCCGCCGCCAAGGAACTTTGGTAAGAGCAGGGACTGGGAGAGTCGACGCGCGCCGTCCAGAGTCATGGCACCGCCAACATGAACATACTGGCCCTTGGAGACAAGGAAAGTATCGGACTCGGTGTAAAGGTCGGCGGGAGAGTTGCCGACATTGTCGACGCAAAGCTTGTAAACTTGGCCGCGTTCCTTAAGGATTTGGGTAACGTCGCATGAGGTGTAATCGATAGTCTCGTCGGCACCAAGCTCTTTGCAGAGCGCTGCCTTGTCGGCGGAGCAGGAGACGGTGACGAAACAGCCGAGAGCTTTGGCAATCTGGATACCAAATGTTCCTGTGCCACCGGAGCCGCCGTTGATGAAGATCTTGTCGCCCTTCTTTACATGAGGACAAATGGTCTGATAGGCTGTCAAGGCAGCCGTGGGGGCTCCAGCAGCGACGTCAATGTCGACGCTGGTGGGGACCTTGGCCACATCCTCGTATGATGCGACGATAAACTCGGCGAGAGAGCCCTCGGAGCCGGACGGCTCAAGGCGTCCCAGAACCAAATCACTGGGACGGATGTCGCCGATCGTCTTGCCCACGGCAACAACACGACCGCAGAAGTCCATGCCTGCAGTCTTGGGGAACTCAACCATGGCGTGCGCAAAGACTCCGAGTTCGGGGACCTTGTAATCTGCAGGGTTGATACCAGCACTGAGGACCTGAATGAAGAGCTGGTCGGTCTCGAGACCAATGGGGAGGCGGGGGAGATCATCGTGGAGCTTCAGGTTCTTCTCGAAGTGGCCAGGCGAGGACAACTGCCAGGCCTTCATTTGCTGACTGGGCGGCATGGCGATGATGGGGCTTGGTGGTCGTATTGGAGGTTGTGTGGCGGTGGTGTATGGGCGGGAGAGGAAAGCGGTAGCCGTTGTCAAGTCGGACTGGAAGCTCGATGGTGATGGGAGGAGAAGGAAAATAAGGATTAAAGTAAGGTAGAAGAGGGGTAGCGGTAGCTCTCAGCCAGGACCGAGCTGTAGTGTAGATGTGGATGATGCGGGGGCGGGGGGGGTTCAAAAGGTAGGGCAGGGCAAAGCGGGTAAGGGTGATGAGAGACCTTTCGCGCCAGTAATGATGTATTCGGGGGAAAGTCGTCACTCGTGCCTAAGCGTTCTTCGTTGTTGGGCAGGGCATGCTATGGTGGTGGGTACGGTTGATCTTTTCGCTTGAGGTGGCGGTTAGAGTAGATGGACGAAACGAGGTTCAAGGCCAACACGTCAAGGGTGAGCGCTGACAATGAGAATTGGAATCGAGGGCCCAAAGCACGGCGGATGTGATTTTTCGTGGTAGATCGTCAAGTATTCCGGTTTCTGCGCGAAACAGTGGTCTAATGAGGTACTCGGCAGGGTGAGGCGCTTCGTGACGGTAGCAGTAGTGGCGCGAATGTGAGGTCACACTTGCTCTGATGCCACGATGGATGATGGAGCTGGCGGCCTCCCGGAGAGGAGAGGGGCGAGGTAAGGTCCCGACACGGTACTTGGACCAACGAATAATTTTCTTTCGCTCAAACGCAGAAATGGCAGCTGCGGGATGGAGGGGTCCAGCTGCGGGACGGAGACGGCGATTGGAAGCGTTGTAGCTTGAGAGGGACATCCAAGCTCCAAGCAGCCAATGCACAATGAAGGTGATGGTGACCAGGGTAATAGGTGTGGAGGGGCTGGCAAACCCACCAGCCCACCATCAGGGGTTCAAGATACCTAGGTGGGTCGACTGCAGCTGAGGGGCAGGCACTGGAATGCTCTGGGTTACCTACCGTGCTTTTGCAGATACTTACCTACGTCACCCCGCAGGTACTCAGCCCAGGTCCCGGCGCGGCTTAACTTAACATCCGGGAACTGTACATGTAGCTTTCCGGGCACGTAGAGCAATCGGGTTTCCTACAGGACGTTTGCCAGCTACATGCCCAGGTTAGATCGGTACGCGACACACTGGTAGTTTTCGTGGTATCTTCTAGCTCTCTCTCGTGTCGCATGCTCTATTCCTGATGCACTGAATGCACCCTGATTTCCCGACCGTAGCTGTCCGTGAGTGGTGGCAGACAGGCGCTAGGCCCCAGGAACGACGTGTCAATCAATCACATGGCGCCCAGAGCACTGCAGTGGCCTTGCCAAGGTCGTTATCAGCCGACATCCGGCTGCGCCAGTCGTAACATGGCCACTACAAGTGACCGCCGAAACAGCCACTTTGCCCATTGTCGTCTGAGTTATTGGGGGTCACAGCACTCGCACGGGCAAACGGTCTTGGAAGGTGACGTGGACTTGGACCTAGAATCCTCGTTTGTCATACAAGCACTATTTTTCGCCGGCAACAGCCTTGAACGCATAAGACTCTCCCAGAAAAACAGGGTGAAAATTTTCGACGAGATCCAGCGACCGTTCTAGAGCTGCGAATTCAGTGGGTTCGGGAGAGCCAAGCCGGCCGGAAGACCACACTATGTCGACAGGGATGACTCACGACGAGGAAGAACCACGAGTCCGTTTCGTCTCGGCTCCAGTAGAGTTTTATCACCGCCGGCATGCTCCATTGTCCCACTGCTCATGCTATGTTGGTCTTGTTCTCGTTAGACAGCTGCCGGGCGAGCTTGGGCCCTGCAATCATCATGGTCGAGGAGCACCTGGACCGAACACTATCATTCCAATTCCAGGAACTGCGAACCGGCCACCGCGTCCAAGCGACCCCACTAAACAGACTCAATTGGCCCGACCACCTCAGCCCTGTCGACACGTTCCCCGCTGGTCTCGCTTGGAAGTGTAATCAGTGAGCATGTCTCTCATGCCCAGCGTGTACGGTTACTTAGGCTCTGTTCGCCATCCAACCTGAAAAAGCAACTCCTCACAACGCAGTGGTGAAATAATGCGTGACAAACTTACTGAATTGCCAAGCTTGAGGGCATCAACAACATCGTCATGGTCGTGCCAAGAGCTCTGTTCTGCTGGGGTGTCGAAAACAAACCTGGACCCCCTTCCCGTACTGCGCCTGAGAGTGCATGTCGTAAAATCTCTACTTTCACTTCCTCTGAAGAGTGCACTTGAACCCCTAGGATGCACCGATTTTCTTTCGTTTCCGGGCCCACCTGCAACTTTACGTACTCGTTGAAACGTGCTACAGAATTATCTAGGACTTTCCCAAGTGTGTCATTGGCTTCGAGGCACGACGCCAAAACCGTGTTCGTCTCCTATCCGTCACTGCCCGGCTCGTCAATACCGGTGGAAGCCGCGGCCACCGAAGCCCCCCTCTGGTCTCCTTGCACGACGAAGAAACAGGACATCCCGACGGCCGCTACAGTGCCACACAAAAGACCTTTTGAGGTGGAGAAGCTGGCCCGGTATGTCGGTCCAAATTTGGGCTGGTGAATTTGAGGCCCCTGTTTCGGGCAATGGTATAGCACACCATGCAGGGTGGCCTAGTGCGTCCAGGTCACCCAATTCATGGCTCCAGCTCTGTCAGATGTCCGGCCTCAGGGCAGCGGACCTTACGACGATACCCATCAGTTGACAGGACGCCTGCGTACGTCAGCCCGTTCTGCACGTCAATTGACCCGCGAGAATTTTCAGGGTCATATGTCTTCTACTCACGTTGGTAATGCCGATCGCCAAGCCGGCCGATGTTGTGCCCCTCGCTGCGCGGATCCGCTATGTGTGCGTCGATCAGCCAGGTCATTACACTTTCGGAGCTTGGCCGAGTCATCGGCGCATAGCCCCAGTCACATGGCTACAGAGAGCGCGAGGCGGACGGGACAACGGGGGGTTCAAAGGGTTCAGTTCATACCTGGCCAAATTATCGGGGAAAAGCTTTGCGACGCCGCCGTTGCGACTATGACAAAGACGTACTTTAAACCACTAGATGCAAAACCGTGACGAGGAGAATATAGCATACTATCTGCGTCATTTCGACGCTGAGTCCAGCCATCCGCGGACTCGGCTTCCTACGATGATTGAGATACGCCAGCGACATCAGAATGATGGAGACGAGAGTGAAAGGAGGTTGATCACCTGCAGCATG